CATTACAACATCTCATCTGTGGCTGAGTCATCGCCATCGTTATTGACACTGACAGTGATACTCGCACGGTGATGCAAGGTCTACCTTCAACCACTCGTCGCGGCACTTGCACCGCTGCGGCGCATGAATGAATGAGGAGAAAAGGCGTTTAAAAACGCTCGACCGATCGCGCTGCTCCAGCCGTGCGCGCAGTTCCGTTGTTGTCCATGTTGATGACTTGTCCCACTGACAATTAACATTTTCGTGCCATCAATGCGCATGAATTGGCACAAATTTACCAAATTATTCTTTGTTGTCATCGCGTGCAACAACAGCAACAACATGCGCTGCGTTAAGGAGCATGATCATCAAATGATGGAGGGCATTTTTTTTTTTTTGGAAAGGGTATGAGCCAAGTCAAAATGATTGCGTTGCATCGCTGAGGAAAACGTGATTCGGCTTAAATTTTCAGCTAAATAAGATGCCATACTTATTGCAACCAAATTGCCGGTAATAATGTTGCACTCGGACTGGGTGAAGTGCAAGCGATCGAGCTCGTCTTAAATGCTCAAGAAAACAGACTTACGCTCGCCACACCTGAAATATTCATCATTCATCGATTGGGTTGAGTGTATGGGCAGATGAAGGGCTTATGTTGATCAAACATCAGTACTTAAATATGTATGTACATAGAGCATTTTGCAGGGTAGCCTGCCAGTGATGATCGGTTGAATTCCTTCACATGTGTGNAGGGCTTATGTTGATCAAACATCAGTACTTAAATATGTATGTACATAGAGAACAGCATTTTGCAGGGTAGCCTGCCAGTGATGATCGGTTGAATTCCTTCACATGTGTCTGTCTTCAACTCCATTTCCAATTCGACAAACTGGCTGGTGAAGTCGTCAAGTGCTCTATGCGTACACCACACACGCGCTTATTTCTCAAGTAGTACACTCTTGCTTTCCCCCATTCTTATTAGTTTTCATTCATTATGATCTTTTTTTTATTTGGTTTCGAGTGTTGCGGAAGAATTGCCTTCGTCACTTTGTTCAAGGTATTTGCAGCAATGAGTGATGACGCAGAAAAGAGTTTACAAGAGTTTACTTCCTCGCCCTAATGCTCATCAAAGTGAGATTCTTCAACATCTCGTTACTCTGCTACCACGACTCGACGGGAGGGAATGATGAGACGCCCAAAGATCTCTTCTCTGAGCGGTTGGAGCGCATTTTACTTCGAGGTTAATCTAAAAAGATATAAACCTCTAATTAACCTCACGCCTCTGTGCAGCAAAAAAAAATTTCGTCCATCAAAGCAATGAAAGCTCAACGCCGAAAAGCTGCAATCTCAACAGACGGCCAATGCATTCGCCCCTCTACTCTACCACCTGTCCTCAAAGAGCACTCTTCAACCAACCGCCATATGCGGGCAGTGGCATCGCATTTCCCGCTCAGCGAGCGCGAAAGAACAATTGTTACGACGAAGAATGTCGCGAAGCTGTGGAGAAAAGATTGCCATGCTGCGATCGGGCGCAATGCGAGATATGTGGGACCGATATACAGAGTTGAAGAGGAAAGCGATACGTAATTGCCGCAAGAGAGAAGAGAGATACCGAAATACGTATTTAATTCCGAAGGGCTTGGAATGCTGGCCGACAGGAAAATCTCCCGATAATTTTAACACAAAGTTAGGCGCAGTCAAGGCTACGCGGATGACATTGTGATTATTGCTATAGCGAAATTTGCGAGTACTCTCTGCGACTTCGTTCAAAGAGGACTTAATCTAGCAAAAATGTGGTGTGCTGATGTGGATGTTAATATTAATTTCTCTGAGACAGCCACCGTCCCGTTTTATAGGAAGATAATTCTCTAGGGGATGAGGAACTTAGGTGTGGATGGAGTCGCGGGTAATATCATCACAGAAGTGAAGTATGCGAGTCTTATGCTGGACTCCAAACTCCTGTGGAGGACTCATGTTGAGGCGATCAGCTCCAAGACTACGAGAGCGCTAATGGTTTGCAAACGTCTAGCCGGCAAATGTTGTGATGCACTCCAAGGATTCTAAGACGGCTTGGGTATCTAGGATCATTCTGGCTACGGTAAGGCAGTCCCTCCCCAAGACTCAACGTCTGGCGTGCGTTTGCTTCACAGGGTGGTAATTCTTTAACTCGGTCACTGCCTTTTACAGTTAAACTGTGGGTAAAGCGAACTCTCCTAAATTACGCGAGAGAGGAGTTTGGTAACGGTAAGGTCTTATCTTCTACGAACAAGGCTATTTGAGGATATGCATAGCATAGTAGTTTTCGAAAGAAGATTTAGGGTTAATATATACAACAAGGCGACCTGGAGAGACACATTTAGGTGAGCACACTATAGTGTTACTCCCGTTATACACCGGAGGGTGTTGGAGCAGGCGTATATGGACTAGACTGAAGGTTTCTTCGTCTAAAGAGGAATTTTCACTGGTAATTTTAAGCTAAGAGGCCACATGCAACTCCGCCAAAGAGACATCAATGCACCTCCTATGTCGGCGGATTCGCGTATCGGCTTTAAAAAAAAACAGAGTACTCCGATTAATCGGGAACCAGCATTAACACCGAAAATAACGTCTGGCTCGAAATCCTACGCAGAATCACTCCGCTGGCCCCAGCTCAGAAGAAGTTGTAAACACCGGGCGGATAGGGACTTACTTGCCTTTGCATCGCATCACCATTTTGCGTTAGTTGGCGCAGAAAAATAACGGCTGGGGTGCTTTATTGGTTAAGTCAGAATGGCTTAGGCAGCTCCAGCGCCAAAAAAGAATATTAAAGTTTCAGTCTATGTATGTACATATGTGTCTAAACCTACACCGTTAAAATAACAAAAAAAAATTAGTTTTTTTATATTTTAATTTGTTTATTAATTTTGTGTATTTTACGTGGTTCGTACATAAATCGTTCTTTTTCGCCTTCACGATCACAATTTAGAAATCTCTTCCAAATAGATTCAAGGCATTAGTTGCGTTGCAGATGCTTCACGATTTGCAGGTTTTTACAGGAAGCCGTTCCAAGTGACCACCTTCCATAAGGTTTATTAATGGAGAAAACAGCTGTTCCTGCAAATCCTGTAAAACCTGCAAATCGTGAAACATCTGGAACGCAACTATTCCTAGACGCGCTTTTACCGCATAAGCATTAAAATACTGTAAAGTAGAAACAAGAAAAAGCTAAATCGAGCAATATAGGAAAAAAATCCTATTTGTAGCATAAGCGTATGCTAAGTACGAACAAAAGTATTTACGAACAAGGAATGCTGTAGCACAGTGCAGTGAATTAATATTAAAAGCGCTCAGCATTTAGCATAAAATGTATTTCCCTTTTTCTACTTCCTAACGATTACACACTACGATTTTACATATTTTAGACGCCCATACAAATTTACGTTGGTATTTGAGTGCTTATACATACATATGCATGTGTTACAGAGTTAATAAATATATATTTTCGCATAAAAGTATAAATTTATATTAAGATTACATAAATGATATACATACGTATGTATATAATACAATATTTGTAAATAAATATCTACCGCCAAAAAGTAATTTACATATACAGAAAGTACATTTCACAATTTATTTGCCTTTTTTAACTTTTGGTCATCATATCGAAATTTGCACTTTACAAATTTACTACATATGTATATCGACCCCTTTGCGCAAAATTATCATATGTTACATTTTTTACGAAATTCACTTTTTGATGCAACTTTGTTTTACAACCCATAACGCATCACTGTTCAAATATTACGGCTTGAATCCCAATAGCTACCCCAAAAATTGACTGTAAATTTTATCGTATGTATTTATTTCTTGTGTGCGAAATTATCATATGGGCTAAGAAACTAGAATGTAGAGAAAAATACAAAAAACACTTTCCTGTAAAATTTAGTTTTTGTAACATACGATAATTTTGCGCAAAAGGGTCGATATGCAAAATAAGAATCCCAACCCATTTTTAAACCGTAGAACATATATTATTCATATTTTGTACAGATGGCGAACTAACAATGGGCATGTATTTTTATCACTTACTTTACTTTTTTAATAAGCCATCATAAAATTTTATTGTTTTAGAACTTTTTAAAAAGTGCTTGCTTTCAAATATCACCTCAACAATTGAATATACCACCTCAGTATTGCGATTGAACTTCGCAGACTACACAAAAACTGTACAACTTAGCAGCAACATATGGTTGAATGCGAAGAAAAAACATTGCCATCAAAAAAATACTTTCTAATGCACGCAATAATTATTGTTTGAATTCGAATACAAGAATCATTATGATAATGAATAATACCACTGAAAGGATGCCAACCAAAATAAGCTTCTTCCTACGCACTTGGTTCTAAAACGAGAAACAGAGGCGAATCATTTATGAACGAGATTAATAAAGAGAATATTTCTACTTAAGCGCAAATAATCCACTCACTTTATATGAACTGGCTTTACGAAGATTATCAGCACCCTGTGACACAAATACACTTGTCTGCTCCACGGACGATTCAATCGAATCAACAGTTAGACCTTGTTCGTACACCATGGCCCCGAGTTTCTTGTAGATTTCATTCACACCAACAATATTTTCCTGTAGCACATAATAAATGTTTGTTAGGATTTAATTTTTCGCTGAATAAACTCTTTTGATTTACCTCCAGTTCACGTATTTGACGTTCCTGTTCTTCAAGCGCTTGTAAATCGATTTCTTCTTGCATTTGTGTTTGTTGTTGTGATTGATTTGATCTACGACTGAAAAAGTTATCCTCGAAGAAGGAGCCACTATTGTTGCTGCCACTGGTACCACCACTGCCACTGCTGTTGTTCGTGCCCGGTGGTTTGCTAATGTTGTAACTGTGCGCACGCGCTTGTCGAACAGCATTTTTCTCGATATCGACTGTTTTGCGTTGAACGGCCTTAGAAAGTTAAAATTGAAATTACATGATTATAAAATTAAAAAAAAAAACTGAATTTTTTAATAGTGATTTTAAAAGTAAATCTTAGTGGCGAGACCTCGGACGAGGTTTAATATTTCAGGTATTTAAAGAGTGCATTCCAAAACGTCAAAATGCAAAGAATCAGCATCTTTTATTTCTAAACCTTAATAGATTGTTATGTTAAATGTGCGCAACTACGATTAGATGTTAGTTGTTTACTTCTTGTGCCGTTTAAAAAAAAAAAAAGATGGATGCTTTTTATATTTTGAAGTTTTGGAATGCACCCAAAAAACTATCACCAGACTTATACAAAATTTAATAAAAACATAATCATCTTTCTTAGCCTCGAAATGACTGGTGTTATATTTTGAGGTGGCTAAGGATCACTTGATTGCATTATACTAATAAGAAAATAGTTGCTTGCAACGATTCACTGGGTTTTGCAACAGAAAAAAAAACAGTTAAAATGCACAATGCCAAAGTCCGGTACATTTTGTAATATCTCAAAGTAATGAATTAATTTATTAGTCAAAGTATTAAAACGCAAACAACAAAAGACACAATAAAGATACCATAGGATCACTCTAAAACAGATAGCGAATGAGTAATGGCTACAAAAAAAAATGATAAGAAATCATATAATGAAATGAAAATGAAAACAAGTAATTTTTAAGCGAAAAACAAAACCGACTTCAATGCTCATATAAAAATTTAGTACTATCGTCAATTTCTTCATAATCCAATGATCGCATTTAAACTAAATTAGTATGGGACCACCTTTGAGGTAAAACATTTCCTTTGAAAAAATTAAATCTAGAAATCAGTTAACGTGGTGCAAAGTTATGCGGAACATGCATACATAAAAAAAATTGCGACAAATTGATAACCTTCTCCTTTTTGTTAAGTCGGTTAATAAAAGCAATCGAAGCAGATTTTATTTTTCATGCATACTTATATATCGTTACCCTAATATAGAAAGGCCCCATTTTACATTTCTGTTTCTTACAGCATAACAAAGTTTAATGTTTTTTGTAGCGAATTAAATTTTTTAATGAAGAATATAACTTATTTTATGCTGCATTAATTGTTTTTAAATTATGTTATGTTTAGTGGGTAGTCTAACGATTTTTTCTTTTTTTTCAAAGATAAATTTTGATATGTTAATCAAAAGAAAGAGGTCCTACTTTGTACTTTTGGGGAAAACCTACTAAATATTTATAATCATATTTTGAGTGGAATGCTTACCTGAAATGCTGTTAAAGCAGCGGTGAACTCATCTACCAGCCGATCGCGTTGTATTTTCAAATGACGTTCCTTGCACTTATCCACCTCTTTCAATTGATTATTTGTGTCCGAAACCAATTGATGCGTATAGGTCATTATTTGATGTCTGAAAAGCAAATACATATACATATTGTGGGCATACAATGTCAACTAATCGTCTTACAGCTGTTTCTTCAAATCAGGCGAATCCTGTGGCGTATTGAACTGGTTAACCATGCGTTGCATAGTGGACACTGCAAATGGCAATTTTTTTTTATAGGTATGACGCATTTTTATTAAACAATGAAGCTTACCATTTTGTAAAATTTTTTGTATGCTTGTCGCGATGGTTTGCGCAAGACGTTGGAAATCATTTTCACTGAAGCCGCCCGTGGGCCCTACTCCAGCACCATGGCCACCGCCACTGATGCCATTCTCCATATGCTGCAGATCCATGCTCTCGTAGGTAGACACTGTGGTTGAGTGTTGGTTGATCACCAACAAACTGAAATATATAGGTATCTATGCAAATTTTGACTAAAAGAAGGGAGTGGTATAGCAATGTTTGCCCTCGTCCTCGAAGACTACACTCACTGCTCGTTGATGTCGACTGGTACAGCTATTTAAAGAATGTATTAACTAAGAACGCACTTTATAGGGCCTATTTACACACCTTTCTTTGTTTCAAAATTCGATTATGGGCTGAGTTCTCCCCTATTACCAGTTACGTCGCTAATTTTCAATGTATATTTGCTTGTTTGGTGTCACACAACTGCTGGCACTGCGCTAATGCTTTTTGGCCTTTTCTTTTTCCTACCAACTTTCCCTCAATCGACGTCAAAAACAATTCAACTTATTGATTAGCACAAACAGTTTCGCAGTACGGGCTTCTTGGTGATTTTGCTTTTTGTATTTTTACATTTATTACAATTTTCAATAGCTTTTAATAATTACTGCACTTTTTCAATTTTTCCCAGATGACAAATCTTTTTTACTTTTTTTTTTGCAAAAAAATTGGTCAACTACGTACTGTCAGTTTTAGCCAGAGATGCCACTTCCCCTTAAGACGTTTTATTTCGACATGTTTTTTTGAAGAAAAGGTCTGATTAATTTGGTTATTTGCCTGATAGGTACTTATATCTGTATGTAAGTTTATGTATAGTTTTGCTGCAAATATATGTAGGATATATTGTGAAAGCACCTCAGAATCAAATAGCTACAGATTTATTGCCAAAACACACGGAATCAAAGGACATCAACGTCATTAATCCCACTATTTAAAAACTGGTTTTCTTGGGTATTAATTTACTTTTGAAATGGCAATGCTCTCACTCGCGAATTTATCTCTCTCTCTTTGTTTTCAACTGTCAAAGTGACGCACGGAATGCCACAGATTTTTTTCTTTTCTCGATAAAAGAAAATTGAGTGCGTTGAACAAGAAAGGTGTGGTTGAAAAACGTAAATTTTACTATTAGATTAATGCGTTAGCTTGTAAAACTTGTTAAAAATCTTTCGGAAAGTGTTAATATTATATATTAGAGCATCAGCATAATGGCAGGACGTCTACCGGCTTGTGTGATCGATGTTGGCACAGGGTGAGTGAGCGAAGATTCGCTGTAGAAAAGGAGGTCGCTGGTTCATTGATCACTGTGTGTACGTGTTGGTGTACAAGCGGCCCCCACCATAGCAGAGTAACCAGCAAAACTATGCACCAAGAATGCACCTTATTAGAAAGAAAATATTTTTGAGTTATTTGCCAATTTACAGCTATACAAAATTGGGCTATGCGGGCAACAAAGAACCACAATTCATCATTCCCTCAGCAATTGCCATTAAGGAGACGGCACGAGTGGGTGACACCAATACGCGACGTATTACAAAAGGTGTCGAAGATTTGGATTTCTTTATTGGCGATGAAGCATTCGATGCTACTGGCTATTCGGTGAAGGCAAGTATAAAGCTAATAGAGTAAATTGATTTAGTAATGCAGTGACTAATGATGACTAATAGAAGATAACATAAAAGAATTTAACGTTCCCACGACAGTCGGGTCTACGTAACCGGAACGACCCAGATTTATATCTGGCCAAGGACTGTCACTCCAGCAACACTCCCCAAAAAGTCTTTGGGGAATTTGTATGCTGCTACAACAACAACAACTAATAGAAGATAACATAAAAGAATTTAATGGAGAACAACGTAAATTTAAAAAATTTTAATATACTTTTAGTACCCGGTACGTCATGGATTGGTGGAAGACTGGGACTTGATGGAACGTTTTCTTGAGCAGTGTATTTTTAAGTATCTGCGTGCCGAACCCGAAGACCATCACTTCCTTCTAACTGAACCGCCACTGAATACGCCAGAAAATCGCGAATATACCGCTGAGATTATGTTTGAAACATTTAATGTTCCTGGTCTCTACATAGCTGTGCAGGTTCGTGAATTGCATATTCAATGTTGGCGCGCGTATATGAATAGTTTTTCTTTATTTTAGGCTGTGCTTGCCTTGGCCGCCAGTTGGGCTGCCAGACCGGTGGAAGGCCGCACACTAACAGGCATTGTTGTAGATAGCGGCGATGGTGTAACACACGTTATACCCGTGGTATGTATTTGAAAATAGTTGAATAATACTGCTGAAATATACTATTTGTTGTGGCTTATCTTATCTGGAAAAATACATATTGATTAAGCCTTCAACCCAGTTTGGTGTTTATATGGATTTTGTTTGCTTAGAAAAGCGTTGCAAACAATTAAATATCTGTATATATATATTTTTTTTTTAATTTGGATGTTTTTACACAGTTGCATAATTTTAAAACCGCCATATATTAACAAGTTTTGACTATTTATTTTCATATTATTTAATTTCAGTTATTTTCCTATAAAAATTTAGTTCATTCTTTAACAAACACCATACTAATCCATATTCCAAACTTTGTACAAAAATTATAAAAATTCACCGAATTTTCATCATTGTTGTTTGTTGACGATATCACTCATTTTCTTCCAATACAAAGTATGTCCGAAAATCTTTTTATATGGAAGAAAATGGAAAACACCATCAACAAAAAAGTTGCCAAAAACTAATGGTATTTTGTAGCCACATGAACCTCACACTTCATTATAATAAAAGTGCATGGGCTATAAAACTGCATACGCAAAACTTCCAAAAATTAAAAAAAAGTGTAAAAGTTTGGTGAAAATTCGCTGAATTTTTACAATTTTGGTGTTTGTTATAGAATGAACTATATTTTTATTAGAAAATAATTGAAATTAAATAATATGAAAATAAATAGTCAAAACTTGGTAATAAGTGGCGGTCCTAAAATTATGCAACTGAGTGTACGTAGTATATTCTTATTAATAAATAACTGTTGGTTATATATTTATTAGGCCGAAGGCTACGTAATTGGATCTTGCATCAAACATATACCCATTGCCGGCCGCAATATAACCTCATTCATACAAAGTTTATTGCGCGAACGTGAAGTTGGCATACCGCCAGAGCAAAGTTTAGAAACTGCCAAAGCAATCAAAGAGAAGCACTGCTATATTTGTCCAGACATCGCCAAAGAATTTGCCAAATATGACACGGAGCCGGGCAAATGGATACGCAACTATACAGGTACTAATGCGGTGACCAAGCAACCATTCAGTGTTGATGTAGGCTACGAACGCTTCTTAGGTAAGTTGCCATTTAACGTTTCTTGGGTAAAAGAGATTTGTATGCATACGTATTTATGTTTAGGACCTGAGATTTTCTTCCATCCTGAATTTTCAAATCCCGATTTCACCATTCCACTATCGGAAATCGTAGACAACGTAATACAGAATTGTCCGATTGATGTACGACGACCTCTTTACAATAATATAGTTTTGAGTGGCGGTTCGACTATGTTTAAAGATTTCGGACGTCGTTTGCAACGTGACATCAAACGATCAGTTGATACGCGTCTACGGATCAGCGAAAACTTATCAGAAGGCCGCATTAAGGTATGTGTTGGTTTGAAGAATTGTATAAAATTATTATGTTAATATTATATTTTACCGCTGTAGCCAAAACCAATTGATGTACAAGTCATTACACATCATATGCAGCGATATGCCGTGTGGTTTGGAGGCAGCATGTTGGCATCCACGGTATTTTCATTAATTGCTAATTTATCGTTAGATTACTTTTGACCAAATTAAATTTTTGTTTCTTACTTCCAGCCTGAGTTTTATCAAGTGTGCCACACAAAGGCCGCCTATGAGGAATATGGACCGGGAATTTGTCGCCACAATCCTGTTTTTGGCACCATGACATAATCATATACCACCACACTGTGCACACAGAATTGTTTTTCACCTCTACCTATCACTCAATTTCAATTCCTTTTAAATTTTGTTGTATGCAATAGTAGAAATAGTTCAAGTCATGTGCGGAAACAGATATCAAACAAAAACAGATACAAGATGGCGTAACGCACACATAACTTTTGTTGAAAGACGCTTGTTTTCTTAATATGTATAACAAAATTTACCTATGTTAAGCTGCTAAGTTATAATGTCAGTCGTTTTATGTTATATTTAAAGTCAATAACTAATGATAAATTTGCATTTTTTTTTTTTTGGTATTATAATTAAAGAGTCTTATTATGCTTATTATAGCGGCAAAGAAGTAATTATTTTAATGTTGTCAACGCTTTTATTGCAGGGTTGGCATTTTTATACACACATATACCATACAACCATATGTAGGCATTTACGATGCAAAGCTTGTTGTAAGTGATGCAGTAGTGAGTGATAGCAAATTTTCACTGAGGTATAACATAATATAAGTATGTATTCTAATTGTTTTTTTGTAACATTATCAACCGATTGCATTACTTATGCAAACTCTATTTACGCGCTTCTAATATACTATATCTCTATTATTAATGTAAATTTCTTTTTTATGTTCAGTAATTAAAGTGAGACAGTATAGCAAAAAAGTATATACCTAACTATTTAACATTTTGGCCAATTACAATTAAATTGAAACGATGAATAAAACGTGCGATTGCACAGAAAAATTATTGTGTGGAGAATGTGATTCTTTATGAGAATTCAATAAAATCAATGTGAATATAATTAAAAAACAAAACGTTCGTTTCATCAATTTTTATAAAGAAATAATTGTGGAGAAGAGGCTTTGTGAAGTGCAATCCGAGAAGGAGCTGCCTTTAAACTGAGACTCTCAACGGCACGCATACATTTACAAACACTGTTGCACTCTCACTGGTTTGCTAAACAAGGCTTCAAGAAATCTATCCGCGTCTAGTATTGGTTAAAATTTTTCATACACTTAGCTCTAACCTAACCTTTCTTAAACTTCGGACGTAATCTTAAGCAAATACACCACACCAGAGCCAAGTAATTTTTGCAACAATTTAAAATCTATTTGTTTGCCTCTGTTAATTGAAATTTGAGAAACGAGTTGTTAATGGAATAAAGTTTAACAAAACATGCATATAATAAAATCGGAGTCCAATAAATAAAACAAACAAATAACCTTATTAATACACATCCCTGTAAAAAAAAAAAACAAATGCTCAGATGTCCTAGGTCTATGCAAAATAGTAGGCAAACGCTTATTTTGTTTTGGCTGGCAAAGTCTGGTCGATTCGGCAGTCAAACTTCCGAGCTCACAAACCGAATGAAACTGAAGCACACATTGTTAAGGATTTGAAAAATAATTTCTAAATAAAACATGCTTTTGTTTGGGTACCAGTATTTATTTGATAGAAATTTTATATACTTTCAAGTTTTCGCGTTTATGTATATCATAAATCTCCTTAATTTTTATCGCAAGATGAAATTTACCTCAAATATAGTTATTATGTGTATGTATATATTTTTTGAAAGCGTAACAGTGTAATAAATTGGTGGTGAAGACGTTGAGATAAAAGAACGCATATTTTTTGCGAGTTTATAGTTTTGATGATATATTTTTTAACAATAATTAATTTATTTTTCTATTTATGTAAATACATTTTGAAAAGACAATAATTT